CTCTACAGACTTGCTCTTCGGAGGATGCGGCCTGGCGGGCACCTTTGTGTCGGGCATGAAATGCTTGCAAGACTTTGGCGGCTGCCCTTCCATCCGCGTCGGTTGCTGAAACAATTATCACAGAACCCAGGTCGTTGGTGTGATCGTCCAAGAAGCTTTTTTGACCTGGGTGTGCTCAACCACAAAGCCATACCGGAAATGCAAACTGTTTACAATCTGTGTCTCCAAAACAATCTGTGGTATCTATGGCCACTGCGAAAGTTTTCAAGCCGTTCGCGCGCCATGGTGAACTCTTCCGCTTCCAAAAGCAACTTTTCGCCATTTACTTCAATGAAGGGGTACTTGCGATTCTCGTATGCTTCTTTCCTTAGTGACATCAGGAATCTCCGCTTGTGCCTTCATAGTGCCGGCGAAGGATAGAGGCTTGAAGCTGCGTTTTCCCATCGCGTTTGCTCAATGCCAACACTTGCCCGCATGCACGGACTGGGGCTTGGGCAGATCCTCCTCCAAAGCGGGATACTCACTTATCGTCATGGCATTGCCCACATCTGGCTGGATGCCCAACAGCTTCAGTCCTTGGGTACAGCGATCTAGATGCATAAGCCATGAAACATAATTCAACAGAGAAGGCTCTCCTTCATCCGAACCTGTGCAAACAGCAACACCTGATTTGCGTTCACCCCTGCCAGCCCGACGTGTTCATGCTCCGCCGCACACCGGAACCGCCGCGAATTCATTCGGTCGCTTCGCCGCCTCTAGCGGTGATAAGCACACGCAGCCCGGCAACGCGAAGCCTCTCGAATTTGCAGGCCTAGTTAAGGCCCTTGCCCCGTGTAACGAGGCAGGTAAAGGCAGCCGCAGCTCCAGTATTTTAGGTGTGCGCCGTGGGCAGAGTCTGCAATGTGAAGCCCAGGCTGGACATGTTTCTAGCACCCATGAATTCTCGTGCATTCACAACTATGCTGAGTTCACGTTTAGCCCTGCCAGCCCGGGCTCCGGCACAAGGCTCTGCTCCAACGCCGCCTATTCTCGGCTATTGGCACGTCCGGGGTAGGTGAAGGCAGCCGCGGCGCTTCAAGCTTCTCAATGCCCACACAACTTGTAGGTGAGCTGCAAGGAGCAAACCGCTCCCGAGCGTCGGAGACAATATCTGAAACTTGCTGGACATGTTTCTACAGCGCTTAGTTCACGTTTCCTGGGGGTCTCGCTACCGACCTCTGGCAAACGCAAATGGCAGGTACTACTGCAAACCTATAAACATTGCAGTGAGGCAGTGACATGCACGGAATGCACGGCCATGAATGTACGCAAGTTCGCAAAGGAAGATGCATCAAGCCGACGATGTTGGAGGTCATGACACGAGCGAAGCAAAGCCTGCAGAAGTCCTGTGCAAAAAAGAAGCGTCTCCTCTCCCGAGACTGCGCGTCTGGACTGTCACAGAAACCCAGCACACAGCCAGTGATCATCCCCGCCGGCACCAGCTATGTACCGCCAAACATTCACTCAAATCTGCAACGCGATACAAGCGTCTGGCGGCCCCCTGATCCACAGCAATCTGCATGTTGGCCATCACCGAGAAGCGGTAGAACGAATACCACCCGCACTTCTTGATGCCCTGGCCAGACTGCTCCCTAAAACTGCTGCAAACCACCATGGACCCTGCACAGGAAGCGCTGTCTCCGGTGAACGACCCTGAAGCTCTGACTCTCGCGCCTCGCTCTGGCGCCTCGGGAGAGCTTCGAAAAGCGGCATGAAAGCAAATTTTGCCTCGGGTCCGGCATACTCTTATAGCGGCAAGGGCTTAAGGTCAGGTGCTGGCACGATCTGGCACTTTCAGACACCACGAAAGCGTGTAGTCAGTGCCGCAGGCAAGTGAGGCGTGCGCGCGCCCGTGAGATTCTTGGAGCTCTTTTGCTCTGTTGTGTGCCCGAACCACCCTCTTCACCTCACCGACATCCTCCACGTCGCACGCAGCAATGATCACGGCACACCCGTCTGCCGTTTTGTTCGTGATCTCTTCACCTTGCAGACAGCGGGAGATGCTGTTGCACTCCGTGAGAATGCGGTGCCAACAGGCCCCGGACCCAGAGCTTCCAGGAAAATTTGCGATGCCCAGTTGATCTTGGTGTAGTCAATGACCTGCTTCCCGTGATCGTAGAAGGGGTGCTTCTGCAATTCAAACGCTTTCGACCTCGCATTCTGAGCAGGATTCACATCCTCATCAGGGATCACTTCACAGACGTTGTCAGGTGCTTCCCACTAGATGAGCCGCCGACATGTCGTCTTGTAGCTTCCTAGCCGCTTTAAAGAGATAAGCACGCCTCGGTTTGGTGGTGTGCTGCTGTAGGATCAGCATCTTGACTCCTTGACAACAGTGCTCGCGGAAGGCAACTCTGAACGAAAATGCAGCTCAACAGCAGAGCAATCGTAGGACAGTCCTTTAGCACGTTCATCGAAACTGGATTGAATGATTGAGTACACTGCGTGTCGGTAGTGGGCGTACCAAGCATCATAGATGGCGGCCTGCAGCAAAAGCTTGTGTGTGTTTCAACAGTGCATGACAGTGCTTCACCGCTGCCGTAAGGCGGACGAAGTGGAGCATGACTTGGTTCTTCCCATAAAGAGAATCTAGGGCTGCCTGTGTACCATGTGTACCTACCTTTCCCGGAACTTCCGAAAGACACATGCCGCCAACATGCATGCCTGTCGCCGAGATCTCCAGAGATAGCAAAAGCAGAGGCAAAAGCAGCTTCCCACTATGCTGCCTGTCCTTGCGATGCGACTTGGAGTGTAAAGACGGGAACAGCCAAAAGCTGAATGAAAACTCGATGACTTTCCCGACTTTGTCAGAGCAACCGCGTGCAACACAACCGAAAAACCTTGAGATGTTTTGAATGAACATCTGCCGCCCGAGCGCGCTGCGGCCCAAAACCCCGGCTGCTCGAGAAGCCAAGCCTGCAAGTTGTGCTTTGCATGAAGGCACAACCACAGAAAGCTTCGATACTGTTGCGCCTCAGGATTCTCAAGGCACACCTTGAAAGAATCGGCAACTGTTGCTGCCCGCCGAAGAATGAAGCCTTCCGGCAGAGGCCTCATGAACATACTCTCGTTTCCATAGCGTTCTTGTCCGTTGATCAGTAGGGGAGACTGCTCTGGTCTTTCCTCCCAGAAGAGGCGACGCTGGTTCGACTCATCGACAAAGATTCCACAAGCAGTCGTGTCGACTTCCGGGTAGTTGCCGTTGGTGATGCAGCCCTCATCATCAATTTCGCAGTACCTGAAGGCACTGCGCTGCTTTTTATTGCTGCAAAAACCCTCTTTCACCTCTGTCCTGCACAGAATTGGACCGAAAGGAATGAACAAAAGATGAGAAATCGGCGAAGTCAAAGGGAGTTATTCTCTGTTTCTTTTCCAACTCCAATTTGCATGCGGAACTGGTCCTGGTCGGATTCAGTTGGCCATGACTCCCGCCACGAGTTTGCATTCAGCTTCAGCATACTAAGCCCAGCATTCAATTCGCTGACAAACGCCTGACCAGACTCGAGCCAGTATGTATGTAGCGGGGTCAGCTTCCCAATGCCGTCTCCGGATAGATGGAAGGTGACAGGCATGATTTGTTGGCAAGTTGGGCTGGGTGGAGGGTTGCCTCTCGCACACAAGTGCACACGCACCCACATATCCATCATTATCAATCCCAGACCCCCCTCGAAGGCTGGTGCCCACTCTCTCTGTCTCCGTTCTTCTGCATTTCTGTCAGGCACCAACTATCTTCCCATCTCTCTCTCTCTCTCTCTCCACGGGGCCTAATGCGTGGTGTGGCTAGGGCCGGCTAGGGCTAGGGCTAGGAAGAGTGTGGACCCCCGGGGCGGCACTTAGAAGCTTGCTTGGCTCGACGAGCACTTCCTCCCCCAGTGCACGCTTGTATGCCACTGGCGCTTCTCCAGCCCCTTTAGGCTCGAGAGTAATGGAGCCGATTCACCGTTTTTGTTGGAGCCCCCAGCTGCACCCTTTTCCGCGTGATTCTGCGTGGAGCCATTCCATCACTCCACTGCATAAGTCCCCGTTAACAGCGACTTTGGACATATGATCCGGAACAGATCGAGCCAGAAGTCGCAGACATTCCAGGAATGATCATTGAGGATGCAGGAAGGCTGCTCAATGAAGCTGTGGCCCTGTCTTGGGTAAAAGCAGGCTTGCACACCTGCCTCATCAAGGACTCGGTAGCTGCACTGGCAGTCTATCAACGTCTAATTGTGGGACGAGCACCTACCCTAGTGGACCGACTAGCGATCGGACCGGAGCCTGTCAAAATGTTTCCGCATACTTGAGGTCCGGGGGTTAGGGGTTCAAACCAACATCGGTCTTTCGCAGCCACGCGACATCACGATCTCATCTGCCAATGGGCCACAACGATGTATCGTTTCCGGGCAAGCAAGTTCCGCAGATATCTTGGAGGATCAGATTCCATGCACGTCTCACGTGACAATACCCGTTTATGGGTGCGGAACACACACTGCCTGCATGACATCTTGGTGGCTTTCGGTAGGGTTTCTGCTATTCTACCGGTAGACAGCATTTGTCCCTGGCCACAGTGGATGTTGCGATTCTTGGAGCACGGTGCCCCTCATTTGGTTACACTATTCCGAGTCTGCAACTTCTCCGGCAGGAGTGCGAATTTATCAATGTATGGGAGTCAAAGTGGCTCAGCAACGACGAAATCAGAGAGGTAGTCACCACCCTGCGTGGCTTTCTTGGAGAACCATTTGTGAATCTCAATTTGTGGCTTCGTGGGCAGATGTGGGTCGGTAGGCCTGGGGCGCCTGACAACCTAGGATCTGGCAGGAGGTTGACATCACTCTCCTATCGATCTTGTCCAGGTGCCCCACCAAGAGTTTGGGCAAATCATGGTACAAAATTACAAAACTGCCAAAGACAGTTGGCCTGACTCTCTGCATATTTGGGGGGCCGTTCACGACCGCCCTTCTGCTCCCACAGCCACTCCTGGTCACAGTACCAAAGATTGGCGTCTCACACCTTAGTGTTCTCGGTCTGGTTCGTCTTGGACGGCTCCGTTTCATTCTCCATCCCGGGCAAAGTTGCTCAGATCTTTCGAGCTGGCTAGGTTGTAGCCTCAGATTTACTCCTGCGCGGAGGACGAGTAGAGCAGCTACTCGAAGACACCAAAGTGGTGTGGTGCAGTTTGCCCCAGTACATGCTTGGTGCGAGGCCATCCCGTGCTCAGATCTTACAGCATCGTAATCTGCATCGTTCTCTGATGCATGAGAAGCGGGCTTCGCGAAGAGCACGTGGCCGTGAAGCCGACATACGACGGCACCGCATGCCTGTTTGCGAAGAGTGCCTCTTAGCCGATATTCTGGCAGAGCCGTGACTCTCACAAGGCTCGGGTCTCTTGCACATCCCATGGGACAGGGCTACTGTTCCAGTTCTCCTTCGCGCTTCCTACTTCATGCGGTCGTTCGGGCCACGTGGGCAGTTTCCCGGATTGGGGTGGGCCGCTCCCAACAACGTCTCAATTCAGTCGCAAACGTGGTACGACAGGCACTCCTAGACACGGCTGCTGATGACAACGCTGATCACTCGTCACTCCAGCAGGCCTCTGCTAAATAGCAACAAAGCATGCACTTTCTCACGCGGACGTGCAGAGTCATTGAAGCACGACCGTTGCTTGACTGGGATGGCTTCCATTCGCGCCCTGCAGTGTGGCTGGAGGCCATCGGCACTCAACATAGGGAAGAAGTTCGGCTCCTACCTGTAGAACACACCCGCATCGGACAGCACGGTAGCCATAAGCCTGCAGTGGCCGGGTGTTCACATGTCCCGGCAAGCTCGCCTGGAAACGGTGGAGACTTGGTTGAGGCGGAGCGGCTGTGTGCCAGAACCGTCGTTCATGCCGCGCGTGCAGGGCATGAGGCCGGGTGACACTGCTGCGCAGCCGTAATCTCAAGACCTGGGCAGCATGCTTACGCCGTCCACGACGGCCGTCTCAGACTTACACTCCGCGTGTCTTACGCACGGACACCGGTACTCGTCGTCCACGCACCCACCCCTGAAGAGATGCGGCGGGCAGCCGCCCAGGAATGGCAGCCGCTTTTCGCACAGCCCAACCCTCCCTGAGCACATCCGTTAGCGCGAGTTTGGCAAGACGCAGACGGACTCAGGAGCGGCAGCCCCAACACGACCTTGTGGGGGCACCCAGCGGGACTCTCTGCTCTACTCAGTCCTGGCCCCTGGCCCCCAGCTCCACTCTTGCCGCAACACAGAAGTTCAGCAACTCGCGTCGCTGCAGCTGAAATCTGTATATATCGCGGTGGATCCTCCGACAGGTAGGTGGGATATGGATTGCACACAATTTAGGACCGTGTTGAGGTCCCACACACTTCCTTGTTCATGTCGACGGTCAGTCACCACATGAGTGGAGAGTGCGCCTGCCTCCTGGAAGATGGCACAGGTGCCTCTTGCTTGGTCCTAGCAGTTCCAATACCCCCTTCTCTGCCCCCTGTCTGCCCCGGAGCGCTCCAAGGATTACCAAGATGTCAGCCTCACGACCAGGCCCCTGTGGATGGAAGCTTTGCTTCCTGCTTTTCTTCCCGTCCTGCGTACAAGAGCTGTTTTGGCTCATGCTGGACATTCAACCTGTTACCCATAGGCTGTTGTCCGCCAGAGCAGCCCTGCCGGCAGGCGCTAATCGTGCCTACGAGCCGGGCCAGTCGGCGGCGGCCGATGTGTTGTATCTTGACGTGATGGTGTGTGAAGATATGCTCTGCATCATGGCTTGCCGCAAGCAATTGCTAGCCAGGCCCTGTCAACACCTAGTCTCCCGCGTGCACGCGGTCATCCGGGCACTCAAGCAGGCTTGGTCCGACCCGTTGCCTGTGCCGCCTTGGAGATCCCACCAAATCTCTCACCCCAGCGCTTGGAACGTTAGGCAGGTGTCTGACAGCCGTTCCCTCACAATATGCCGTATATTGCCTTCGCGGAACAGCAGGGTGTCCCTCTCCCCAACCCTTTCCTTGTCCAGGGAAACGTGCGTCAAGATTTCATGCGGCGCAGCATGCCACTTCCTGTGCCCATCTGATGTGTGGTGGCTTCTTGGGGCCCCGCTTTCCAGCTCTCCCACCTTGCCAAGGCTGTCTCTGATCCTTGTCGTGCTTTCCTACGCAATTCTCCTTCGGGCTGAAGCGACGGCCAAGTGGCAGGTGCGGGCTGTTCAGGGCAAGCTGGCGTACGCGACAGGCGTCTTCCAGCCCGCATTCGCCTGTTCACTCGCTTTCGTGTCCCATCGAACTGACATCAATGGCTGCTTCCCACTGACCCGCACGTCGTGGACATCTCTGC